AGCCCCCCGCGCCGGGGGCCTGGGGACCGTGCCGCGCACGGCTGGCGTGGAGGCAGGGCTCGCGAGACGGACTCGGGGCGTCCAGGCCCGGCGCCTGCAGAGCCATGGTCCCCCCTTGGTAGCGGGGGTATCGGGGGCAGATGCAATACGAAACAGCGACGGGAGCGAAGGGCGAAGTCTGCTGCAGGGGATGCGGACGGCGCGTGCCGGCCCTCGGACGAGCGGGTGCAAGGAGTCGGCGGACGCCGCCCGGTGAAACCCGGCCCGGAGGCGAGGCGGCCCAGGAGGAGGAATCCAGAGCTGTCGTCTGGCGCTCGCCGAGCGCTTTGCAGCAGACAAATCGCTCTAGGGCTTTCCTGCCGTCAAAATACAAGCCGGCGTTTCCCGAGGGGCGCCTCGAGCCTAATGAGGGATGCCCTGGCTCCATCTCGAGACCAAGAAAGCTGGGACCCGGCGCTGTAACTGGTTTAGCCTCCCAGCGACCAGCGGGGAACGTTTTAGGCCACCAGGAAAAATAGCTTCGGCCCCGCAGCCATTTTCTTGAGAGCCTGGTTATGAGAAAAGCCTCTAGAGGAGCCGAGAGCCAGGTTTGGCCCTTTCAGGCACAAGTCGCCTGGTTTTTATTCCCACTTTCCTAGGAGGGGGCTGGGCGCTGGGCTCTTCCCCGGCTCTGCCTGACTTCTTCTCTTGCCCCGCTGCTTTGTGCCTCGGTTTCCCCGTCTGCCGAAGGATTGGGGACGTCGTAATGTTTGGTCAGTTGTTAAAGCACTTTCTGGCTGGGAGGCTGCTCCGAAGAGTGAGGTGTTAGCTGGTGCCTTGCCAAATGTTCCCATCGGTGTGTGCGACTGGTGGGCCGGGATGCGAGCCAGGCTGTTAATCCCTGCTGAGCACGCACACAAGGTGCTCAAGACTGAAGCTTTGAAATGTGTGTCACCCTCTTATGACGCTGGTGACCAACTGTTGGGAGCCTGGCTGGAAAGCCCTGCTTAGGGGCAGGTACGAGGCCCTATGCACGGTACTTCAAGGTCTAGGGTTTGTTGTGGCTGGTCCCAGTGATGCTGCTGGTCCTGGCTGGAGAGAGCAAATGGCACCAGAGGGAAAGGTCTGGTAGGTGGCAGTGAGCCGGGATTCCCAGCTTTCCGGGCACAGTGCTGTCCTAGGGCTTAATTGCACTGCTCGTGCATGCATAAATTGCAGGAGGCCGTCAGAGCCTAAACCAGGCCAGGCCCTTTGCTGTCATAGGTCTTAATTGCGCTGCTCGTGCATGCACAAATTGCAAGAGGCCATCAGAGCCTAAACAGCCAATAGTCAAAACTGACCAGGCAGGGAGGGCAGGTTGGGAAATATAGGAGAGAAGGAGAGCGACTAACTCAAGGTCAGTGAAAACCAGGGGCAGAACCCAGTTGTCTTCCAGCCCATCTCCCAGGATATTCATTCCCACACTGTGCAGGCCAAGCTGTGGGGTGTTCTGCACTAGTGCAAATCACAGGACTGGCACACGCCTATAGAGGGAACACAGTGACACGGGTTACTGCGTTCCTTCGAGCAAAAGCTATTGCCATAGCCCCCGACCGCTCCAATCAGGGCACTGGACTCCCCTGAGCTGAGTGTTGTGCAAACAAGTTGAGACACTTGTGCTGGCAAACAAGAATCGGGTGAAAGGATGTGCTGGAGGAGAAGCGATTTAGGACTGGGAAAGACAGGGTAGTTCTTGTAATGGCAGTGTGGGATCTTTACCATCATGATGCAGGCACCTCTTGGTGCTGGGCTTCCATAGCATTCAACCCCTGCTTTGAAAACTCCCCAAATCATTAAGGTGGCTTAAAAATCATGAGCTTTAATGGGGAAAAAGGGCTGGGTTTTTATTTGCCTCTGGCTTTGCAAGCCTTCAGCATTCCTTGCTCTCCATCCATGAGAGAGAGAAAGCTTCCCTTCTCTTGGAAAATATTAGCAGAGATTTTTGTCTAGTCTCTGGATTCTCAGAGCTGGGACTTTGAGGTTGTTTGGAGCTGCACTGGAGGATCAGATCGCGGCTTTCTGCCTGTACCATTTCCTGAGGACTGAACTCGTAGGAAAAGAACAGCTTAGGGTCAAATGGTATCTTTAGATGAAAGAGTGCAGCTTGCTTTATTTCTGGGGTCTCAGCGCCATGGGGCATGCAAGCGCCAGGGAGGGAGAAGATCTCTCTAATCCATGGGATGGTACCAGCCAAGGAGAAAGTGGCCATCAGTGCATTTCAGGCTGGAAAGCAGAGGAAGACTGTGTAGTGTTAGAGCAGTCGGGATCTGTGACATGCTTCCAGCTGGGGCAGCAGGGGCAAGACCTGACCTGCCTTTGGGAAGGAGCCAGGTGTGTCTATGAAAGGGATTATATGGTGCAGTGCCTGCGGAAACGAGAGCCAGGCTCTGTCCCAACAGCACCCAGCTCACCCCACACTCCTGCTGTTTCAAGAGTAGGTCAGTGCAGAAGACTTCCAGCCAGGTCATTATCAAGGAGAAAATCCTGCCCTGGCCTGCCAAAGCTTTATCCACCTGATCAGTGCTTCCCCCCACAAGCAGCTTGGATTAGAACCTTCTCCGGGCCCAGTTTTAATTCCTTCTTCAATTAAAATAATTGTTTTGAATGGGATTTTTGGAAGGCTGCGATCACTGGCGTATCCAGGGAAACCCAAGGATATGAGTTTTCCCAGTCCGGCTTTGGGGTGACTGTATTATCTAGGGCAAAGCTGCACTGTTCGTGCAGAAATGAGTTCTGTGGTGTCAAACCAAGCCGTAGGGCCAAACAGGGAGGTGTTGAAAAGGAAGTCCTGTGACCTGAGGTTAGCTAAGAATACCCTTATTCCATTCCCCACTCCCATGGCAATACACACACATGCACAACCCAGCACCAGAGAGCTCAGACTCTTATTGAGGATCTTCTGGCTCCGCTGTGTGCAGTATGGCTAAAAAATACCTCTCCAGCTTGGAAGCCTTTTTTAGCATGGGTGTGAGCAGTTAGACACTCATGTTGTATGAACCAGCTAAAGCAAGCCCCATGGACAGTCAAAGCTTTGCTGCTACATTGATACCTGTGGGCTGTGCTGGGGAAAGCTGGGCTTCAGATTGGAATCATGCAATTGTCAGCAGCCTCCAGGCTGGGTGAGCTGGGCCAGGAAGGCGATTCCTCTCCCCTTCACACTCAGCCTGTGCATGGTGTCCTCTCTTCCAGAGCCGCCCAGTACGCCTGCACCCTGCTGGGCTACACGATGCAGAAGAATGGGGCAGGCGCCGAGCTCCTGGCCAGAATCAAGCAGCTGGAAGCTCATATGAGCCTGGGACGCAAGCGTGAGTGACCCAGGCTCTCCAGCAGGATGTGGCGGGGGGCTCCGAGGGCTCTTGTCGTGGCAGTGGCTGGGCGTAGGAGGTGCGGTCAGCCCCCTGTTCTCCTCTCGGGCTTAGTGCAGGTCGTGGTAACCTGGCACTGACAGGGCTGCAGCCTTGTAGCAGAGCAGGAGGGGTGTGAATGCTACTCCAGGGTCACACAATGTGCAAGCAATAGTGTAAAGGGGGGACGGGGGGTGGAGGGTAGGGATTTGGGCAGCAGCCCTGGGTGCAGACTCTAGAAGGGTGGCAGTATGGCCATCTCCCCCCAGGGGTCTTTGCTACAGCAGAGGTAGCACAGCCATAGCTGGGCAGGCACAGCTTCCGCACCAGTAGTCTGTCTGTGGTGGGAAAGGGGTGGAATAAGGCACTCCTACCCCACGACACTTTGCCACGAGAGAGGCAGCCCTGTGCCCAGCGTGGGTGGGCCGTCGGTGTACCAGGTGACGCGGTGGCACCTGCCTTTGCAGTGTTCCGGCTAGGCAATTCGGCCGAGGCGCTGGAGGCGGCCAAGCGTGCCATCCACCTGTCGGACATGGTGCTGCGCTTCTGCATCACTGTGGCCCACCTCAACCGAGCCATGTACTTTGCCTGCGACAACGTCCTGTGGGCTGGCAAGACAGGCCTCGTCCCCCACGCAGACCAGGAGAAGTGGAGCCAACGCTCCTTCAGGTGAGGTCCCATCTGCCCCTCCGGGGCAAGGAGGGTGCATTTCCTGCCAGTGCTGTGGCCTGGTCAGTGAGTGCTGCTCAAGACTTCCTCAAAGGGTCAACGGGCTCCTCTCTCTGGGCTGGCCCCAGCCAGGTGTCAGGCAGAGGGAATCTGTGTTATACAGTGGGCTGTGCTGCTTTTAGCAGCAAAGCAAAACTGCTGTATCCTGCTAGATGGGTGTTGGCCCGCATGGACTCTAGTAATGCCCCATCTTGGCAGTTCCCAGCCCCCCGGGGAGCTGGCTCTGGGCGTCCTGTCTATGTGATGTTCTAGGGGCCAGAGGAATGGCGTGGGGCCAGTCCACAGCCGGTTGCCAGCATGACCCAACATGGTGGATCTGGCTATGTGCTGGCCCCGGGGGGACCACAGCAGCCAACATCCTGCTGCTGTAAAGGCTGTTGATCTATGCTCAAGAGATCCCAGGCAAAGGCCACACCCCACCACTGCAGAAGAAGGCAAAACCGTACCAATCTGACCGGGGGGAAATTCCTTTCTGATCCCAAATGTGGAGTCAGTCTGACCCTGAGCAGAGGGGAAAACCCTCTAGCCAGCACCCTCCAGGGTTGAAGCTCAACAGGAGCAGTGGCACAGCCCAGTCCCCATCGCCAGTGCTGACACCCAGTGCCTCTGAGAGACATGTAGCAGGAAAGGGCAGGGGGAATCAGCATCTTCTGGGCGTGAGTCTGCAATTAGTGAGGTTTCACTGCTCCCCTTTGATAAGAGTGGGGCCTTGATGGAACAGCAGGCAGTCACTGTGAAAATCCCCTTCTCAGGTCTGGCACATGTCTCCTGTCCCTCCTGCCTTCCAGGTATTACCTCTTTGCACTCATCATGAACCTGAGCCGGGACGCCTACGAGATCCGCCTGCTGATGGAGCGTGAGGCCAGTGGGAAGCGCCCAAAAGGCACTGAGAACGGGCATCAGGCGCAGGTAGACAACGGGCTGCAGCACCTGGCTCTGCGGCTCCGCATCCAGCTGCGCCTGCTGGGCCACGTGCTGAGGAGTAACCCCCCGCTGCTGCTGGACCTGGTGAAGAACGCCTGCGATATCTTTATCCCGCTGGACAAGCTGGGGCTCTACAAAACCAGCCCAGGCTTCGTGGGGCTGTGCGGCCTCACCTCCTCCATCCTGTCCATCCTCACCATCGTGCACCCCTGGCTCAAGCTGAAGCCATAGTGGGGAGCTTCAGCTGGCTCAGGACATGAGACTGTGCCACCTTCCTCCTCTCCATCCTTGGTTGGAAGCCAGCACCGATATCGGTAACCCCAGGTTGTTCCCTGCCACAGCTCTTGGGTGGGTGGGAAGCACTGATTTGATGGGGGGGCATCAGTCCTGTGGTGTACGGACCTGCCAATCTGACCTCTGTTCCTGGAAGTCCTTTCTCCGAGCCTTAAAGGACTGGGAATCCCAGGAGTCAGGGGCTCAGGGCTGGAGGCATCAAGGATTCCCCTCTTAATCAGCTGTGAAGCTCTGGTTTCTTAGATATGACCCATGACTGGGACAACCTTGTCCTGCTTGGAGGGGCAGGTGAGAACGAGACAGGTGGCAATTCCAGATAACCTGGCTAGTCTTCATGTGTGTTGCTGAAGCCTCGGGACTATTCCCTTTAAGGCTGCCCCAGCTTGGACCTCTCTGCTGTGTTGCGGGGATGTCCCGCTCTCCTGGCTGTGCCTTTTCACTTAGGTTGGATGGTAGGAGTAGGAGATCATTTCTCTCCCTCCCTCTCTGTTATTTTCTCCCATGTGGGTTTCCCCACCTTGTTAGAGAGCACTTAAGGATGCTACAGAGTCCCGTGATCTGTGAAACTGGCCAGACCTGCTCTCTACCAGCCCTGGGTATGGACTGCCAGAAGAGGTCGCGTCTGAGTGCAGGTTCTCTTCCTGCCTTTGCCCTGAACGATCGTACACCTTTCACTTCTCCGTGCCTCCGTTTTCCCATCTGTGAAGTGGGGATTATACAGCCCTGTGCTTCCAAGCCTCTGCTGCTGCTCGGGCAATCCACTAGACACCCCTGACCTTCATCCCCATAATGGTTTCTTCGTTGAATTTGTAATAAGCCAGAGAGGAAGAGAAAACCAGTGGTTTCATATTGGATCCTGAACAGTTGGGAACAGAACCCAGGAGTCCCGACTCCCAGCCCTGTCACTGTTAAGCCATACTTCCCACTGTCTTTGCGTCCTGACTCTGTGGGTCACTGGATCTTTGGGCTTCCCTGTCTGCAGATCCTGCTCCCCTCAGCAAAGTGATTGTTTTTAACAGTTCAGAGTTGCTCAAAGGCAGGGATTCTTAGCTGACAATGCTGCCACTGCCGTGCAAGATTGAAGAGACCTCCGCTCCTTCTCTCAGAGCTGTGTTAGCTCCTGCTTCACGAAGAACAAGATTGTTGTACTGATGAAGTAAAGACGGTCATAAAGAAGCAGAGATCCCCAGCAGTCTGTTTTCAGCTGTCACCAATCTTCATGACATAGTCTTCCTTTCCCCATAGCTCTGGGCAGCTTCTGAGCAGAACCCAAGAGGTTGGTGGCCGTATTGTCCTCCATTTGCTGCTTTGGTGGGATCCCAGCTGGGACAAAGCTGAGAGCAACCATCAGCTCTTTGGGAGAAGTCTGGCGATTCACAGCCATGTCCCCTGTTGTCCCTCTGATAGCAGCAACGATCACGTGAAGATCGGTTTGGGCTTCAGGCTTCCAGTCGGGTTGGCGCAGCTGCCAGGAAAATGAAGATGCTGAACTGTCGGGAGTGTGAGTCTTGCCTCTGTAGGTATCTATGCCCTACACACAGGGGTGGGTGACTGTTTCAGTCTGACAGTGTTTGCGCTCTCCCCCACAGGTGCCCATCAACCAGAGTCACGTCCCTGTTAAATGCCACGGGGACTGAATCAGACTGCATTTTGGGGGAAGGATAGAGTTGGTTGTGTGTCATTTTGAAACGGTTGAGGGTTACCTAGAGAAAAGTTATTCTCATCAATTGTGGTGCATCCATCTGAGGATGTTCTTGAACAGATCCCTAATGTCTTGATGCACTCTGCCCTTCACAGACATGAGGGCCTCCGGGCTTTCAGCTGTAGGCTGTGAAGCAGTCCAGGGAGAGACTTCAATCCTTCAGAAGATGCTACAACAAAGCATTCAGCCCATTAATTCTCTCATCCGCCATCAGCGAACTCAGCTGCCCGTGGCTGCTTTCTCCTGCTAACACCCCGGTTTTGATTGTTAGAGAGCAAAGCCATTTGGTTGTCAGAAGTCTGGAACGTACTGTGGGCAGCTGTGACACGTGTCTTCCACCGTCCCTGTCTGGTCACTGTAAATACTGTACAATTCACTTGTAAATAGGCATCAACTGCTAGCAGAAAGTCCTGTGGCAGCTCTCAGGCTGACACATTAAAAAGCGAAGCTGCTGATGCTTTCCAGTCATCCTGTGTCTTCATTCCCAGATGATGTTGGCTCCGGGGAAGTCGGTCAGTGAAGTCCAGCCTGCAGTTACCAAAGAGAAGGAGGTTTAGGACTGGAACGAGGGAAGGTTTGTTGAGAGCACACAGCTGAGTGCAAATGAAATTCCCCATTGCCTGGGGTGGACTTCTTGGGCTAACTGCTGTACAGTATTGCAATGGTTGAGGCCTGCAGCCCAAGGAGGGCTGGTGGGAGAGTGAAGCTGGTGTGATGGTGAAGCTGATGTACAGCTCAGTCCATGCAGCAGAGTCAGAGCCCTTGAGGAGGAGTAGGATGCCAGCTCCAAGCTCTATACCCTGCTCTCCTCCATGTCCTGCCTTTGTATAGTCGATGCCCTTTGTGCACATGGAATCATAGAAAATGAGGGCTAAAAAGGACGTCGGGAGGTCACGTCTAGTCCACCCCTGCTCAAAGCAGGACCAGCCACAACTAGATCATCCCAGCCAAGGCTTTCTCAAGCTGGGTCTTAAAAACCTCCAAGAATGGAGACTCCACCACCTCTCTGGATAGCTTGTTCCAGTGCTTCACCACCCTCCTGGTGAGAGAGTTTTTCCTAATATCCACTTTAAACTTCCCTCGCTGCAATGTGAGACTATTGCTCCTTGTTCTGTCACCTGCCACCACTGAGAACAGTTTTTGCATTGCTTCTTAAAGTAAAATCATAGAGAAATGGGGCTGGAAGGGACCTCCAGAGGTCACATCTAGTCCCACCCCCGGCCTGAGGCAGGATCAGCCGTCTGCAGACCATTCTATGCAAATCCATCATCTCAACTTTCTAAAACCTAGCCAACCCTAACACCACACAAGACATCATACCCACTTGCCACATCATGCACATCTGCTGCAGATAAAATAGAGGAAGGGGTTCTGCATTTGTCCGGGGTGGAGGCTAAAATACAACCCTTAAGATCCTACGGTTCTATGAGATGCTTCTCAAGAGGAAACTTTGGTGTTGCCTCCAAGGTCCTATCAGATCCAGTTTGAATACTCACGCAGCACAGCTGCTCAGTGAGTATAAGCTTCAAGTAGCCTTTATTCATATGGGCAGCCAGGTGATCAGAGTGGATTTTGGTTTTCTTTGATTTAAAAAAAATCCCCAATTTTCAGTTAAAAAACAGTAACCCCAAATCCTAATTTTTCCATGATTTAAATGAAACAGCATAGATAGATAGATAGTGGTGTTTCATTTTAATCACGGAAGAATGTGGATTTGGGGTTAGTTTTTTTAACCTAAAATTGGAGATTTTTTTTTAATCGGAGAAAACCAGGATCCCTGGTGATCACTGTTCAGCCTGCCTGACAACATGGGTACCACAGGGTTAAACACATACCCAAATTATATTTCTCTTGTGCTCTATACATTTAAAGTGCGTAGCTCAAGGCTGCTTTGTTGCCTGTGATGACTTGCTGATGAACAATCTTTATAATGAGCCCTTGTGTCTCCTGCACCTGGTTTTAGTTGCATGGTCTCACATGCTTTCCTCATGGGCAGTCATCTTGGAGGCCACCCAGCTTTCCAATTCGCTAATTTGGTGAACTTATGCAGGTGCAGCATCCCCCACGCACGGATCCGGTTGGGTTTGGCCATGCTGTCCTGTCTGCTGTTATCTGTGGTCGCAGCTTGTACTGGTTTCAGGCATCTGAGGGTTTACCTAAAGAAAAGTTATTCTCATCAATTGTGATGCATCCACCTGAGGATGTTCTTGAGCACATCTCTGATGTCCTGACGCATTCTGCCCTTCACAGATGTGAGGACCTCCAGGTTTTTAACTGTAGGCCATGTAGCATTTTAGGGAGAGACTTTATTCCTTTGAAAGATCCCGCAATGAAGGATCAGCTTGGTATTAACTAGATCCTTAGTGATACGGTAGAGTTGGATGGGATTCAGTGAATCCCTGTCTGTAGCAGTGGATGGGACCTAGCCTTTGGGGTTTGCACTTTGCCTCTTACAAACTGGTTCAGATCCAGATCATATTGGTTTCACAGACCCAGGAGCACTTGTTCCTCAGGTCCAGCCTCGCTCTAGGAGGACATTTCTGGGTCCAGGCCGTCTCCATCCTTTGATTTATGAGCAAATCTTTGCCAAACCCTCTCATGCTTTTCATCTGGACGCCCCAGATCCGTCCCCACACCTATGTGAAATGGGGCTTTGAGTGTCTTGCTGCTTTCCCTGTTTGGTGCAAAACTGGGTGCCAAGGTGGGGTCCACATGACGCTCCATTCGACTCCGAGGCTGGATTTTTTCTTGGGTTGTTTTGCCCAAACTGTTGTGAAAGAGCCTTAAAACTACAAACAGGGCCTCTTGCTAATCTGATTCCAGCCACCAAATCCTTCCTCTCTAAGGCTGGAATTCAGTTAAAAAATAGGTTAAACTGATCCCGTGCAAAGAGGTGGAGTTAGCAGCCTGGATAAAAGAGCTGCTCAGGGTGAGAACTTCTCCCCCGATCAACCCGTAGAGCAGCCCCCAGGGCTGGCCGCTGGCTGAGCTGGAAGCATGGCCTCTGAGAGCGTAAGCGAGCTCTGTTGTTTCCTATCCCCGTGTGTCGGATCTGGGACGATGGGGTTCGTGCTGAGAGAGTAGCAACCCGGGGCTAAGCAGGCTGCATGGAGGTTTCCCCTTGGGAAACCAGTCATAGGCCAGGCCCCCACGGCTCTTGACGCTGTATGGGGCCAGTGTGGAAAGATGCCTTGAGTGTTGTGCTCAGGTGAGGCTGGATCTGGGCTTCAGGAGGGGCAAATGAGTGCAACCTGCTGGGCTTCAGGAGGGGTCTGCTGGTTTCCACCGGCTCCCTCCTGTTTCCTTCCAGCAGTCCAGGGCGCCCTTCTCTGGCGCGTGATTTGAGCCCTAGGATCTCGACCAGGAGACCTGTTCCCTGAGATAAGGGAGCGAGGTGGGGACCTGTGGTGGAGGACAGGATTGAGCCACCCTCCAACCTGTCCCTTCCTGGCTCTCTCTCTCTGGGGACAGTCTGCTTTGCTGGGAGTGAAAACAGGGCAGGAGCCGGTGGGAAGAGCTGGCATCCCCTGCCCACGTGTCAGACTCCAGGAAAGGACTCAGGGCCACTCAAACAGCAACAGAGGATAGAGCGCCAGGAGCTGAGGGCAGAGCGGGCCAACACGTGTGCAGCAGCAGTTCGCTTGCCTTGCTACAAGCTCCTGGCCCACTTCTGCCATCCAAACCCGCAGGGAGTCAAGACTGTCCAGGATCTCGTCCTTGACGCCTTCAAGCCCATACAGGGCATCTGGGCCCAGGCATCTCTGAGCATGGGCTGCAGAGTGGCAGAGACCTGTCTGACCCCCAATGCACCCAGCTCACAGCCCCCACTCTCCCCACCCAGGACACTGTGCCAGGGCACCTGGCTGTCCTCCCGCTTCTCAACTCAGCGTGCCAACTTGCTGCCTTCGCGTATGCCGACCTCCATGGCTTCCACCCACTGCTGGGCATCCTCCTCGACCTGCTGGAGTGTGGCCTGCAGGCCCTGGCAGAGGCAGCCACGGCAGGGGCGGCCCCCATCCTGCAGAGACTGGAGGCACCGGGTGAGTCCGAAGCACGGTCCCCAGGATGCTTCAGGCTCGATGTGGAGTGGAGACAGCTCTGCTCGGCTTCCAGAGCTGGGAACCGGGACGGGGTTATCCCATGGGGCTTCCCCAGCTGTGCAGATGGGGAGGATCATCTGCCCCAGCACATCCCCCGACACCTTGCCCAGCGGGACTCGATCCCAGCTCTGCCAGGGAAGGCACTGGGTTGTGGGGGGACGTCTGCTGGGACAGCGACCCCGAGGGATGTCACTCCTGGCAATGCTGGGATGTGGGGAGATCCCAGGGCTGCCTGCCCATGCAAGCAGAGAGGATGACAGAGGTGAGGCACCTAGCTCTGCCTGGGGTCCCTCTCTCTCCCATGATGCACCATGGCATCACCTGTGGGCAAGGGGAGCATCCTGGGAGTGGCATGACTGCACTGCATCATGGGATTTGTAGTCCCTTCCTCCAAGGTGAGCAGGTCTGGACAAGACCATTCCCACAAGATGCCTCCTGACACCCTCTCCCATAACCCCCCTCCGGTCCCCTTTCTCCTGCCTAGTGGCTGCACTGATCAGCTTTGTGCTGCGGGGCCTGGAGGAGGTGGCAGCACTGGTCACCGTCCCTGAGCAGCTGGTGGACGAGGTATGAGAGCGGGGGGAGGGTTTGGGGGTCCTCCTCGAGGTTGGGGGGACTTGTCGTGGTAGCATGGTGCAGAAAGCAGCCGCGAGGCCTCATCTCTTCCTAACAGAGATAGACGGCAGGGCAGGGAGCCAGGACTCGGTGGGAGCTGGGGCTCCTGGGCTCTGTTTCCAGCTCTGCCGGGGCCAGGGGCACACGCCGGGGTTGTGGCTTTGCAGAAAAAAGGGTTTCGGCCTGGAACTAGCAGCTCCTGCATGGGCATGGGGCTACGGTCATCGTGAGCACACCGGGGCTGGCCTCTCTCCTGTGCACACGCAGAGCACACGCATGTGTTTCCCCAGCTGTGCCACCAGGTGGGGCCCCAGGATCATGCCTGGCACCTGGCAGCCTCTGCAGCTCCCCAGGGCAGAGATCCTGGTACCAGGGTCCATGCCCCATTGATGCCAACTCATCCCCTCCCTCTAGGTCCCCGGGAGCCTGGCCAGCACGATGCTGCTCCAAGGTCCCATGCTGGAGGCCACAGGCGGCGCAGAGGAGACAGCTGGGTGGACAGCGGGGGATGCCCCGGCAGAAGCAGTCAGCGACTTGGGCACGGTCGGCGTGGTGTCAGCGCCGGGGGCCGAGGCGGCGTTGAGTTGGGCCGAGGGTGACATCACCTGCTCCCTCCCTGCAGCTGTGAATGAGGAGGCCAGTGAGTATTGGCACCCCCAAGTGCCTCCATTCCCCACAGCAAGAGTCGGGAATGCCGGCACTGCTACAGGGGGGTCTGAGACCTGGGGACCTCCCTAGGGTCAGC